CCTGCACTTTGAAGAATGTGCTGTCTGGAACAAAAATACATAAAACAGATGAAAGCATTAAAAAACATAGTCCTCCAGACTTCAAGAATAATGTGCACAGCTCAAAATGCATTTTTCACCATTTGTGCTCAAGAAACATTTATTATTATTACTAAAGTTGAAAATGGTACAGCTTAAAGGGATACTCCACTTTTTTTGGAAATAGGCTCATTTTACAACTCCCCCAGAGTTAAACTGTTGAGTTTTTGAATCCATTCAGCCGATCTCCGGTTCTGGCGGTACCACTTTTAGCATAGCTTAGCATACATCATTGAAGTGGACAAGACCATTAGCATTTCTAAAAAAAAAATGACCAAAGAGTTTCGATATTTTTCCTATTTAAAACTTGACTCTTCTGTAGTTACATCGTGCACTAAGACCGACGGAAAATGTAAAGTTGCGATTTTCTAGGCTGATTTGGCTAGGAACTATACTCTCATTCCTGCGTAATAATCAAGAAACGTCACTGCCGTACCATGAGAGCAGCAGGCGTAATGATATGACGCAGCGCCTGAAAATAGTTCCGTTGTGTTGACGGAAGGTGGCCTATTTTCAGGCGCTGCGTCATATCATTACGCCTGCTGCTCTCATGGTACGGCAGTGAAGTTTCTTGATTATTACGCAGGAATGAGAGTATAGTTCCTAGCCATATCAGCCTAGAAAATCGCAACTTTACATTTTCCGTCGGTCTTAGTGCACGATGTAACTACAGAAGAGTCAAGTTTTAAATAGGAAAAATATCGAAACTCTTTGGTCATTTTCTTTTTAGAAATGCTAATGGTCTTGTCCACTCCAATGATGTATGCTAAGCTATGCTAAAAGTGGTACCGCCAGAACCGGAGATCGGCTGAATGGATTCAAAAACGGTAAAACTCAACAGTTTAACTCTGGGGGAGTTGTAAAATGAGCCTATTTCCAAAAAAAGTGGAGTATCCCTTTAATATTTTTGTGGAAACATGATACTTTTTTTTTCAAGATTCTTTGATAAATAGAATGTTCAAAAGAACAGCATTTATGAAATCTTTTGTTACCATGTAAAGGTCTTTTATAATGTCACTTTTGATCAGCGTAATGCATCCTTACTGAATAAAAGTATTAATTTCCTTAGGGGAAAAAAAAAGACTGACACCAAACTTCTCATAGTGTATAATACTAGAGACTTAATTTTGGGACAGTATGAAAGCTTGGCATGTGCCTGCTTTTGCAGTCCCACAGCTGCTTTACTTACACTTGTGTGTATGGCCTGAAACACTTCTGTACACTATAATCTGGTGCCACAGACAGGGGTCAGTTTGCAAATATCAGTGTCCATCATGTGAAGTTGACCTTAAAAGTTTGCACCTGGTAATTAGACAGCTGGACCTCTCATTAACTTGTCTGGCGCAGCATGCAAAAACAAATATAGACAGAACTAAACATATTAGATAATTACACTGGCGGTGACCAATGTGCAAAATTAAAGTCCACACAGACACACACACACACACACACACACACACACACACGCACGGTACTTATGCTGCCAAAGATAGAAAGTGGGGATGGGAAAGGTATTGTTCATTCTTTACATTATCCAAATCCATTAACTTTAACTAAATTAGCATAAATAAGGTCAAGTGTAATCCCATTAACACAGCACCATAGAAAAAGGGTCTAAAACACTCTGTTAAAGAAGTTGTTAATGCCTGCTATTTTCAATTTTACTAAAATTTGGTGTTGATGACATCAAACACCTTCATGAATACACCTTTTACAAATACAGTCACATACAGTGTGGTCGCTGTGATTTTGCCAAGTAAGACATAGTCCTGCCTGTTTCAACATCTATTGTTGATCCTGGAACAACATTCCTGTCCAAAAACACAGTCCTAACCCTATCCCTATCCCTACCCCTAAACCTAACCCTACCCATAATGTATCCCTAAAATCAGAGGGAAATGATAGGTGAATAAAAATGGTGTAGAAGCCCCAAACCCTACACTTGACATTAACTAAAAAAAAATCTATTCCTCAAATCTGATTGGTTGATTGAAAATGTTGTTCCAGTATCAACAACAATGTTGATCTAGGAACATTTTCTACTTAGTGAATTCACGTTAACCCAAACGGTGGAGTCCAAAAGTCTACTATTGACAATATTTTATTTTATAATCAAACCATTCATGAAAACTGTATAACTGAAACAATATTCATGACTGTTTTAGTATTTGGTTTATCTTTCTTTTGATTTAATGACAGCATGAAGTACACCAAGATCGCACAAATTCAATGTCACACATTCACTTACATTGGTGACCTAGAAATTTAAAAGAATTCATATTCATTCAACTTCATAATGTTTCCTTCAGACATTTGGGGCCGTCTGTACTTTGTATGCTAAAGCTTCCTCTACATGTATGCAACCAAACAAGGACCACAGTACAAGGTGAAGAGTTGCCTTTATCAAGGAGTCATGCATACACTGCATATAGAGCAAATGATTAACAGAGTAGCTTTTTGAGCCGATCAAATATACCCCCTTTGACATCACTCATCAATTTCAAGCTGAAGAGCAGATGCTTAAATTGCAACAGTTTGAACAACAGTGAAACAAGAGATCTAAACACACACTCCCCCTCCAATGTGTGTGTGTATCACCTGACACTTCAGACAAACTTTCTCAAGTGCAGTTTGGCCCTCTGAGTAGTCCTGTCTGGAAACAGCCCGCGTTGCTTTTGATTTGGAGACAGACAGTGGCTGGAGGGTGTCTGAGAGACACTGTGACTTTAAGCAATTAACTTTCTCTTTAAAGCCGCTCTTATTAAACTGACAGCTGCAGACATTCACAAAGGACCAATCACCTCTTCAGAAACACAAAACTGTGCTGCCGTAAACCAAACTGGTTGTCTTTTATTGGGGTGGTCCGGCATCCCGTATACACCCCCCTCACTACCACAGACGGGCCTTCTTACAATGGGACCCTCTATTTCTTATTAACGCTCATGGACTTGGGACGCTCCAGGGAAAGGTTGTGGCCCCCAGAGACCAATATAGAGCAAACTCTAAAAATGCCAATAAAGTTGGGCACATTAAGCCGCAAAACTTGCTGTTTACACCGGAATTCCAACATGCAGGAAGAATATATAAATAGGTGGCTTGGAAAATGAATATTGTTACAAAAATGTTTCAGTGCAAGTTTACACAACAAGCTCTGTACCATCACATGTGTCATGAGTGATTACATTCTAAATCTCAATGACTACTGCCAAACTATGATTTACCAACCAAGCACACGTTTTCTCATTTGAGAGACAAGCAGAGGCTGATGATGTGGTTTAAGAGAAGCTCAGGTAAGAACAGACTACTCTTCCACTCTACACATCATTCACAATCGCAGCACATAATTACCAAGCGAACCAAAGAAAAAATAAAGAACTCGATAATTCCGACAGATCTAATAAAGTCTTCGAATCTCAGCGGCCTCAGAGCTCGGTGTACCGGCCTTTGAAGTTGGTTGAGATAACGAATGAAGTGTACTGACATCGATTTGTTAAGCTTTTATGGCAGGCCGATTTAACATTTATTCATTTAAACAGGCTTTTATATTACTAATACTTCTTTTGTAATTACTAGTCATTAATCAAATAGTGCTATCCAATATAGGTTACTCTTTATCTTAAGGTCCCCTTGTCAAAGTGCAATTACACAAATACGTACTGAGTAATATTAATTAACAACATGTACTTTCTTTAAAATTAGGGTTGGTTGTTTTAGGGTTAGCTTGTAATTATGCATAATTTACTGTTAATACTACAGTAACTACATGCGTAACACTGTAAAATAAAGCGTTACCCAATGATACTTCTTCCTCTGCTACTAGTCACTACTCCAATAGTGCCAAGTAAAAATTATATTGCCATTTTGCCATAGAATTGTAATGGGATCTGTGGTTCAGATATCAACTCACTTCTGACTTGTAGTCCCATGTATTTACAGAACTTTAGTACTCTTTATTAGATAATAGAACTTATTCAAGAGACTTAATGGGATTTATATAGGCTATCATTTGCTATAACGTTTGGTATCTCACTGGTTGCTTTTTTACTTGTGACGACTAGTCAGAATTGCTACTTTATAGTCGAGGGGATTTATAGTGAGACTGAAATATACAACAGGAATACAAACTACAGTTAATAAATAGCAGTGTCTATCAAATTAGTAAGAAAATTGGAATTGATAACAATTAGGCTATTTGAATAGTAGCCTGATCAATTAGTAAAACTGGAATAATAGCTAGTAACAACTGGAATACAGTCTGAAGTGGGTAGTTGAAATCTGAACCACAGATCCCTACTAAATTAGCCTATATGGCAATATATATATATTTGTTGTTAGTAGTTAGTTAGGCTACTAGTACTGACTATTAACAGTAACCACAATCAAATAAATTATTAAACGCATAAGAAAAGTAGGCTACTAGAGACATAAAATAGATACTATAGTAAGTTCACAATAAATATTTGTTTAAACGGCTTGCCATGAGCATTTAGAGTAATAAATGTGACAGCGCACAACTGAAGACTAGCGCGCTTTAATAAACTATTAACATTCACAGTTTGACTGGAGTGATCGCGACATGAATTAGGCTATTAGTCACACCTTAATTGCTCTAACACTGACTATTTTATTAAGATGATAAGATCATAGATATAAACTAATAATAAAGATGACAATCTTGCTCAACATCATTATATGAACTCTAGTAGCTTGCTTGCTCATTCCATTTAATTCCCATTATACCTGGCCGTGAAAAATGAAGAAATGCTATTATTTTAAGAAAAACGGGTTTAACTCCCCCATAGACATGCAGCATAGTTTCGTTTTGTTCAGCACTTCAGTGCAGAAACTGGTAGATGTCTGTACCTCTGCATGACATTAGCGTTAAGATAATAGAAACCATATTTCCCTTGAGTCAAACTCACCCAGAGACAAGAATGGTTTGGTTTCCATATTAGCGCATGCCAGCTTTCTTTCTTGTAGATAGTGATTTATTTTCCCAGTGGGCAAGCTATAAGATCCAGTAGGAAACGCCGTCAGACCAAAGCCAGAGATCCGCTGTCAAAATCCACTTAATATAACTAAAGTATCTACTTCAATCTCTCCATCCAGTTTGTAACTCCGCGAGAGCGCTCGCTCACTCACTCCCAGTATTCCTTCAGCGATCAAGCACTGCCTCACTATAGGGACCATACCAGGGGGGACTCTGATCAGCTGCCCTTTTGCAGCGACAAGCCACTTCTACTTTTTACAATGTGGTACTGTTGCCAATGCCAAAACCCCCTTCGACCTATAAAATAAATGACAATAAAACAATACATATGTGTATTTCGCAATATTTATATGTGTATGACAATTGCTTTTGTTATATAAACGAAAAAAACAACAACAACATTTAATTGGTTTATCATTGAAGAGCTATTAAAACAATGATGTTTCCTCCCCCTGAATGAATAAAAACATTTATCTGTAATATTTTTTTTCTCTTTCAACCTCAGGGTTGTCTATCTATAGAAAAACTAAATGTGCCACTGTGTGTGTCATCACACTGGTGTTGTATCCTCCAGGGAATTCATCATTAATTAATGTACATGGCACATTAAAGATCAAAACCATCATCAGCATTATGAAACGAGTATTTAAATGAATGTGGCTTTACTCAATGCCAAGGGGAATTAATGTGAGGTGGAGATATATTTTAATATCATTTTAATATTCATGGTATATTAAAACCTGACATAAAAAGCCTATTAAGAGAAATACAGTAGAAATAATGGTTGCAAAATGAGAGACGGTATCTTATTGCAGTAGAGAGACAGTATTTTATTACAGCAAGTTCTGCAATAAAAACGAAATGCATCCACATAAAGGACTTTCTATGTGCAACCACATAATTTTATTATCTTTGCTAAACTCTTTCCTCCGGTTTCACAGACAAGGCTTAAGCTAGTTCCAGACTAAAATGCATGTTTGAGCTGTTTTAACCGAATGTAACTTGCACTGACATAATATCTTAAATATGTCAGTGCCATTGTTTTGTCTCAAGATGGACACCATGCCTTTTTTTCTAATGCATGCTAATAAAAGCTATTTAAATGCCCTAATTGAACTAAGGCCTAATCCTGGCTTAATCTAAGCCCTGTCTGTGAAACTGGGCCTTTTCACTTCAACAGTAAGTGCATTTTTAACAGAGTAACTGGGATCTTTGAAATGTTGCTAATACTCATGTAATCTCTTCAAGCAGGTCAATGTCATGAGCTCTCCTTTGTGGAGAAGATGTAAGTGAGCTTTCGCACAAGTCTTAACATTGAGAACAATATATTGCACCTAATGTGGGTTTTGATAGTTTGGGGTTCATATGTTATTAGCTGTGTCATCTGATTAGATGTTTGTTTAAATGGCTATTTACAGCCTTGAATTTTCTGTCCTATTGGTCTGCATTATACTGTACTAATTCAGTGCAAACTTGACACCTCTCCAATAATGCTTGTCTGAGCAAAGAAAATGCTGCCTCAGTCAGATCTAATTAAATGGTAAGTTTAGAGGTCAAATAGCCTTTCAAAGCAAATGGCACAGTTCAACATCTGAGTTCTATACTGCAACTCATAGCTGTAAAAACGGATGAGGAGAGAGTCATAGGTTACAATAACAGCTGGTGAGATTGGGAGAGCATACTCACTTTTCAAATAGTATCATTCTCTGAGGCATTCCAAGAAAGATTGCAATTATTTCTTAGTTCTAGAGAGAATGTATCATCCAGTCATCCAAATGTGATTCATTTCAAATATGATGTATCTTTTTCACTGATATCTATATTTCACCTATACAATGTAGTATAAAATATAAGGACCAGTTCAGTTTTAGAATGCAGTCCAAACAAATTCAGTTTCCTTTCTTATTTTAATATATCATTGAATACGTATTAAAATAATTTATTAAAAAAATAAACATTATTTTACTGCAAGAATTTTAAATATTACTTCATGCCATATATTGTTATGCTTTAAACATTGATAGGAAATGTCAACCTCAGTCAGGATGAAAGCAGTGTTTTCTTATTCGTGTGTAGATGACAGACAGTAGAAGTGAGTTTGATCGGTGGAGGTCTTAGGTTCACATTCCTCACTATCGCTCAAGAACACAACTCTGAGGACTGTCCTGTAAACTTCAACATCGTGCAGGAAAAAAGAAAGTTTTTTAACGTTTTTAAAAGTAGTCTCTTCTGCTTACCAAAGGCTGCATTTATTTGATTAAAATATTATATTCAATATATATTTGAAATATTATCACAATTTGAAATAACTGTTTTTTAAGTTGGATATGTTTTCAAATGTAATTTCTTCTTGTGATGTAATGCTGAATTTTCAGCATCATAGTCTTTCATGTTGAAAACAGTTGTGTACATTTTTTTTCAGGATTCTTTGATTAATAGAAAATTCAAAAGAATAGCATTTATTTGAAATATAATCTTTAGTAACATTATAAATGTCTTTACTGTCACTTTCGATTAATTTACAATTCAAATTTACAGATCAATTTTATGATCAATAAAAGTTGCTGAATAAAAGTATTAATTTCATTAATGTCTTTCAACGGTAGTGTATAATGTTACAAAAGCTTTCTATTTCAGATAAATGCTGTTCTTTTGAAATTTATTCGTCAAAGAAAATTGTACACAACTGTTTTCAACATCACAATGATAATAAATGTTTCTTGAGCAGCAAATCAACATTTTAGAATGATTTCTGAAGGATCATGTGACACTGATTTTGCTGGAATTTTCAGCAAAATCAGTGTCACATGATCCTTCAGAAATCATTCTAATATGCTTTGATCACAGGAATGAATTACACTTCAAAATATATTCAAAGAAATAAATGCAGCCTTGGTGAGCAGAAGAGACTTATTTTAAAAACAATCAAAGTCTTTCCGACCCCAAACTTTTGAACTGAAGTGTATATCCTAATTCAGAACTGTTGTTACGGAATTTATTTATATACAGCCATACCAATATATATATAAATAAAATAGTTAGCTAGCCTCTTTATCACTTGGCTGTTACAGGTTTTGTAATTACTCTGTCAGATACCGTCTATACTCTCAGGAACTGTTTTCCTACAGAGATTTACTGTGTACAACTGAAATGAGAACAGCACAACTCTTAGAACAGGAGCAACTCCATCAAACTGTGATATTACCAGGGGTTAGTGATAGGGAACCAGAATCCTTGTGCAGTGTGACTTTCTCAGGGAGACAAATTGAGATGTGTCTCACTGACTGATCCCTTAAGGATCAACGCCAAGTGCAGGGGCTCAGTGGCAGGAGTGATTTAGTGCGTCTCACTCTCTCTGCTGGTCAGCCACTGTGGAGGAAAGAGAGGGGCAATCAGCCTCGTCATAAATCTCTACACTTCCTCCCACCATCACCAGTTCAAGAGAAATACCCCCCAACCCCCTCGTACACAGCCCATTAAACCTGTTTGCCCCCGGACACACACACACACACGCACGCATGCACGCACGCAAACACACACACACACACACACGCATGCGCGCACACACACACACACACACACACACACACACACACGGTCCAACATTGCATCAAGTAAACAGTAATTTCAAGTCTGTTAAATGCATCCATCATGAGAGTTCTGGAAAAAAAGTGTCATGAACTAAATGTAAAAATGTTTGGACTGGTGAATGTATGGAAGAATTATAGACACGCCTGCAATTAAAGGAATGGCTAATGGAAAATGAAACATTCTGTAATCATGCATTTACTCTCATGTTGTTTCAAACCCATATGCTGTTAGTTTGTCCATGGAATGCAAATATACATCATATATGTAAAACGCACACTACCATTAAAAAGATCAATTTTTTTATATTTAAAAAGTAATAATGCGAAATAAAGTGTAAAAATAAACTATGTATATTCAAATGTCATTTATTTATTTGATGGCAGAGGCTGAATTTTACTCCAGTCATGTGGTGCAATAAACAAACAAACAAACAAACAAATAAATAAATTAAACATTTATTATTATTATCAATGTTGATAACAGTTGTGCTGCTTACTATTTTTGTGGGAAAAAAGGATCAGGATTCAGGATTCTTTAATCGAATTGAACGTTCAAAAGAACAGCATTACGTAACATTATAAATGTCTTTACTGTCATTTTTGAGCAATTTAATGCATCCTTGCTGAATAAAACTACAATTTTTTTTTTTTTATCACAACCCCCAACTTTTGAACGGTAGTATATATATTAAAATTTTATATTATAATTACATTATGTATAAAACTTTACATTTTTGGGCGAAGTATTCCTTAATCTTTGACCTTTAAAGTTATGGTTGACCATCTCTCCATCAGATTATAATCAGATCTTTTTTTCTTGCTTCTTGCAATGTTATAAGATTCATGTTTTATGCAAAATGCACATCCAAAATTTACAAGCGGTGAGTATATTCCAGCAGAGCACAACACTAAATGAAAGAAAATACATATACTGAAATACATTGTTCAAAGCAGTGAGGCCCAGTTCCGCTGTATGAGCTTCAGTATGAGTCGAAGGATTTACTGCTGTGAATAATTAGTAAGTGAAGTGTGGCTGACTTCTCCATCGCCCTAGATACTTGGCACACTCTCTCCCTGTTTGCATCTCCACCAGTGTATCCAGATGGTCAACTCACCATGAACTCCCTGGGCTAGTTGCACCATGCAGCCTGCATATTATTTATCAATAACTGCCGTCCTATCAGGTGCTGGAACACCAAGAGCACTCAGCGGTTAGGAGACAGTAGGGGGGCAAACATGTAAACACGTGCACACAGACACACACACACACGCACAACCACAGGCTCTGACACTGACCCAACATCTGCTTTTCATTAGCATCCAGCACACACACGCTCCCTTTCTGTGTCTCGCTCACTCGCTCGCTCTATATACATTCACAACAACAGACTGCTGTTGCTCAAAGAGCTGTCAACAGTTAGGACTTTCTCAAGACGTAAAAGGCAGAGAGAGCCATTCGGAGGGAGAGAGACAGAGGGAGAGAGGCAAACAAAAGGGCACCATATGGAGAGGGTGCTTAGAAAACCACCTGGCTCTTACAATATGAGTGCCAAGTCTGTAACGTGAAT